TGCCCTGGCAGAGGAATTCCTTTCTCCTGGTGCCCAGTCTGGGCCTCTCCAGCTGCCCTTGGCATTAATTCTGTCTCTCTCTGGCTGTTTTCCACTATGTCAAAAGGATCCACCATCCCTGAAATTGCTCTTTAAACACTCTCATGGCTCTGCTCCGATGTCCTCAGTCTCCACACCACTGAGCACAGAGCTCCTTTGTCCCTACACAGTGCTCATGTGCCCAAGGCCTCCAAACACCACCTTGGGACATCTCTGGGCCCTCTCCAAGGTGTTCCCAAATGAAAACATTCAGCTCATAGTGTAAGAAAATCATCAGAGGACAGGGCCAGCCCAACCTGTCTGTCCTAGCTACTGTTGTCTGGGAGTTATCCTTGGATATGCAGAATTTGGGAAGCCAAATTCTAATTTTGGCCATGGTCCCTGGACAAGAAGGCTGGTTCTCTTCCATAGGAATGAAGGAACAGAGCCCCTCTGTTTCAGGGACAGATGAGAGGTGACCACCAGAGGCCAAGGCCAGCCAGAGCTGGCAGGTTTTGTTTGGTGAGATACCCTTGCATAGAGGAAATTTTTTAGGGACAGTACCAATTTTGGCAATGGGCATCTGAAAAGTCAGACAGTTCTTTTCCATTGCTAGGAAAGCACGGAGTCCCAGTACTCCAGGAGCTGATGAGAGGCAGCCCTTGACTTCCCAAGATCAGCCAGACCTGTCAGGTGGCCTCTGGGAGGCCAAGCCAGCCAGAGCTGTTCCATGTTCACTGGGTTTCATGAGGCCCCACAGCGTCCCAATGGTCCCTTGCTTCCACCAGGCCCTGAGGTGTCATAATGCCCCCTTGGTGACACAAGGCCTGAAGGGTTGGAATGGTCTCCAAGGTTCCATCAGGCCCCACAGAGCCCTAATGGTCTCTGGGTCCATGAAGCCCCTCTGTGTCACCATGGCCCCTTGGTTCCATGGGCTCCAGTGGTGCCACCATGATCCCCTTGGTTCCATGGGATCCAGTGGTACCACCATGATCCCCTTGGTTCCATGGGCTCCAGTGGTGCCACCATGATCCCCTTGGTTCCGTGAGGTCCCCACAGTGTCACAGGGATCTCCATGGGAAGGAAAGAACCCAGCCCCAGTGTGGCAGGGGCAGCCACCAGAGGCCAAGGCCAGCCAGACCTCTCTGTCCTGGTAGCTTTTGTCTGAAAGCAACCCTTGGATATAGGGAATTAGGGAGGTTGAACCCCAATTTCAGCCGTTTCTGCATAGATAAGAAGGATGGTTCTTTTCCATAGGAAGGAAAGCACTGAGCCCCAGTGTCTCAACAGCAGGGGAGAGACAGCCCCCAGGAGGCCAAGGGCAGTCAGACCTGTCTGTCCTGGCAGCTTTCACCTGGGAGCAATCCTTGGATGTATGGAGTTTTGGAGGTGGAATCCCAATTTTTGCCATGGTCAAGATGGGTGGGTTTTTTTCCCATAGGAAAGTAAAGGACAAAGTCCAAGTGTTTTGGAAGAAGATGAGAGGTGGCCACCCTCAGGCCAAGCCAGCCAGACCTGTCTCTCCTGGCACCTTTTGTCTAGGGGCTTTCCTTGGACATTGGGCATTTTGGAGGTGGAATCTCAATTTTGGCCGTGGGCGCCTGGACAGTAAGAAGAGTTTTTTTTATTAGGAAGGAAAGCACAGAGCCCCAGTGTTTCAGAAGCAGATGAGTGCCAGCCCTCAGGAAGCCAAGGCCAGCCAGACTTGTCAGTCCTGGCAGCTTTTGTCTGGGAGCTATCCTAGGATATAGGGAATTCCAGAGGCAGTTGCCCAGTTTTGGCCATGAGTGCCTGGTCAAGATGGATGTTTTTTCCCATAAGAAAGAAAAGCACATGGTCCCAGTGTTTCAAAGGCAGATGAGAGGTGGCCCCAAGGTAGCCAAGGCAGCCAGATCTGTCTCTCCTGGCAGATTTCATCTGGGAGCAATCTTTGCATATAAAGGAATTTGGAGAAGGAATCCCAGTTTTGGCCATGGACCCCTGGAGGAGGATCAGGACAGTTTTCTCCCATAGGAAGAAAAGCCCAGAGCCCCAGTGCTTCAGGGGCAGATGAGGAGCAGCCCTCGACATGCCAAGGTCAGCCAGACCTGTCCAGCAGCCCCCGGAGGCCAAACCAGCCACACTTGCTCCCTGTGCCCTTGGTTCCATGGGGCCCCACAGTGTCCCAATGGCCTCCTTGATTCCATGATTCCCTGTAGTGTCACAATGTTCTCCTTTCTTCCGCATTGTCACAATGGCCCCTTGGCTTCCCTGAGCCCTTGCAATGTCACCATGGCCCCTCAGCTCGCTGTGGCCCCGCTGTGTCACAATGGCTCCTTGGTTCCATGGGCCCCACAGCTTCATCCTTGGGCCTTGGCTCCATAGGGGGCCTGAGTTTCACAATGGTCCCCCTGATCCTGTGAGGCACCAGAGTGTCACAATGGTCTCTTTGCTTCCACAAGGTTCCATAGTGCCACCATGGTGTCCTTGGATCTGCATTGTCACAAGGGCCCCTTGGTTCCATGAGTTCTGTACTGTCAGCAATGGTTTCTTTGTTCCAGAAGGGCCTTGATGTGTCACAATGGCTCCTTGGTTCCATGACATTCCATAGTGTCATGAATGGAAAATCAGGCTATGAAAAGCCAGTGTCCATGAAGGAGATAGAGGAGTCCTTCAACTTTATTGGAACAAAGGGAGAGAATCCATCAGGGCACACACCCACGGGGTTTTCTCTCTCGAGGTTTCAGAGGGTGCAGCCTCCTTTTATCCTAAGCTCCTGGCTGCACACTGCCCTCCTCCTTTCCCCACTGGCTGAGGTACTAGGAAGGTACAGCCTTCCTGAACCTCCTACCCCACATTCCCCTCTTGAACCTGTCATTTTAACCCAAACATCAGAAACTCAAGCTTGTGCAGACCCACTTGTCTGTTTCAGGATCCAAGCTGTCTGGGCTCTGTAATAAAACTGTTGCTTGATGTTAGAAGAGACATTAAGACCCATTTCAAAGATGTTAACACCCCCACCTTCACCCATCGAATCGTTGGTAAAGATATCTGTCCTAGGTTGACTATATGATGCTTTTATCCCCAATTGTCTTATTCTGTTTATGCTGAATAATAAGTTTTGCACCTTTAAGACTTGTTCCAGAGAGTGAAGAGGGGAGAGAAGAAGCGTGCAGTTTGTTTTCAGACACTGCACTCACTCCTCCACATTCCTGCTCCTGGACTGTTGTCTGCAGATGGACAGACAGAGGGACAGAGCTGTCCTTTGTTTTAGCTAAAACTAACTAAAAAGGCAAAGAAATTCCCTGGACTGTGTTTTTCCCCCTTTTTTTTGGACCTGTTTAAACCTGCTCTGGACTGAACACCAGAAGAGCACCAGCAGCTCCACCTGTGGCCACCGGGCCGGGCCTGGGCCACAACATTTCCAGCACCGGAGGGACTGATAAGAGACTGAGTGAGCTGAGCTGCAACCCGGGGAGGGGACTTTCTGAGTTTGTCATCTCTTTTGGAGCAGCAAGGAGTTTTATAGTTTGATACTGTTTAGGTTTTATTGTTTAATAAAAAGGGTTTTTTCCACTTTTCTCCAAGGAGGTATTTTTCTCCCAGATCAGTTGGGGGAAGGGGAAAATTGAATCTGCTTTACTAAAAGAGCCCCTTTGGGGATTCTCTCCAAAATTAGCTGATTCAGGACAACATGACAGTTGAACTATTTTTAAAGGGAGCTTGGGAATTATTATCTGGAAATAATTATCCAAGTCCCCCCTGAATCGAGGTTTGTCAGCTGTTTGCAGACTCTGGGATGATTGTACATTATTTCAGAGATTGCTATTTGCCTAATTCCACCTATGTTGTTATCTTTGTCTGCTATTTGAAATATTTCTGATTGTTGTATCCAAATTATTCCTAATTGCTGTAAGTTTCTTGTCCACTACATGTATTATTTTACTATGATGTTGCTTCATACTCATAACAAAAGACATACATCTCATTCTTAAAAAACAAAAAAGAAGAGGAATGAACACCTTGAGAACATTCAAATAATGCAATATTTACATGAGAAATTTGGAAAAAAAGATCATCATATCTAAATCCCAATTGAGTGTACCACAGTGAAGCCTAATTGATTAATTAACTTCAGGAGAAGGTGTGCCTGTGTTTTATCATCAGCAGTTCAAAGCAGTCACCTGTTCATTCCATCAGATACTGATCAGCTCTGAAAAAATGAGGCCCAATGCAAAGAGAAATAACCTCATCACCTTGCAGCCTTTGTGGCCAGAGCAGGAGCAGAAGGAGGACTGCCCAGACATGGCTGTGTCTGGAAACTGACAGAGGCAATTTGCCAACAAAAGCCTCATGGCATCCTCATGGTACAGTGCTCCTACGAACCTTCTCCTTCTCTGTTATTCCCTGTTCCAGCTCCCAGGAGGACATTCAGTGATGTCCAAGATCAACATTTCCAGCTCATAGACTTTCTCATACTTCTCAACTCATTGGAAACAATGATCATTTCTTTCCATTTCCCTAAGAGACATTGGAAATAATTCTTTTGTTTTCTCATGCTGCAAAACCCTGTGTCAATGACTTGATAGAATTTGGTAAGTTTTGTTGATTGTAATTGGTCTTTTATCTATCTTATCCCATATCTAATAGATAACCAGTGATAACCTTGATGAGATAATACCCTTGTAAGAGTGAGCTGTTTCAGCATCAGAACATATGAGCCTTTTCTAAATTAACAAAAAGGGGGAGATGTCATAGACAGGTAGAATAATGATAAAAGAAAGGCCTTATGAAATCAGGCTTTGTTCTGCCATATTAATAGCTGGCCTGTCATCTCTTCTGAGTGCAGCTACGCAGTTACAAGTTCCCATGTGAAGCTATTTTGAGAATGAGACTTTGTGAACAATCTATTCTGAGGGTGAAAAACAAATGCACCTACAATAACAAGGGATTTGTCCCATGAGAATCAGTGAAGAGAACAGGTAAACAATACAATAGAGAGATTTGATGCACAAGTAAAATCTATTTTATTAACCAATAATAGAATAAATGGCAAGAAATCTCTGAACTAACTAAAGTTGCTCACGAGGTCTGTCAAACTGTGTAAAATGAGTTGTGTGAATAAAGAGTAAAGAGTTCTTCTCCAACTCAGCTGGGTCCTCTGGGATTTCAGTTCCCCCCTTCTTTGAGGCCTTGGCTTCCCCCTTCTTTAGGGCTTTGGCTTCCCTCTTCTTTAAGGCTTTAGTTTCCCTCTTCTCTGGAGCTTTGGTTTCCTTCTTCTTTAGGGCTTTGGTTTCCTTCTTTTCTGGCGCTCTGGTTTCCTTCTCTAGGATTTTGGTTTCCTTCCTCTCTGGGAATCTGGTTTCCTTCTTTTCTGGAGGTTTGTTTTTCTTTTCTGGGAGTTTGTTTTGCTTCTTCTCTGGGAGTTTGTTTTCCTTCTTCTCTGATGCTTTGGTTTCCTTCTTCTCTGGGGCCTTGGTTTCCTTTCTTGGGATTTTGGTTTCCTTCTTCTCTGGGGGTTTTCCCCTTCTCTGGGAGTTTTGGAGGTTGCTTCCCCACAGAGACACCGTTCTTTTCCTCCTTCCGCCTCTCTTCCTCCTCTAAGGCTTTTGCCTCCTCCTCAAGCTTTTGAGCCAGCTGCTTCAGCTCCCTTCTGCAGACAAAACAGAAAACATGGCTGAGAGTCCCACCAGAAACTTGGGCTCCCTAGTCCTGGCTGGCCCTGCACTTCATTCCTTGACCCTGAGGCCATTTCCATGAATTCTCCACAACCCACAGAGGTTAGGAACATCCCAAGTGAGGGCATTGGTGGAAGGGGACTTCCAGGACCAGCCAAACCTAAACTTTGCCATCATAAGGTCTTGACTGTGCAAGCTCACTCTTAAGGCACAGCCAGACTCCTCCAGCCCCCTGCCAAAGGCTGATCCACCAGCTCTCTGTGCTGATGCCTGAAAACGCCCTTTGTCTCTTGGCTTCCCAGTTTAAAGCAGAGCACAGATTGCTGACATCTACTTATCTCCCCTACAATTCTTACTCAGCTCATTCAGCCCCCTTCTCCCTGGGCATAGCTGAAGCATGATTTTAAAGAGTTCAGATTTCAGCTGAGGGTTAGAAGCAATTCACATTGATCAGGCTGTAAGTTAGACAGGCAGACCATAGGTTAATGATTATGAGATGCTTAAGCTGGAGCTGATTGTTCTATTGTTTACCATTAGGAGCTTCTTTCTAGGAGGAAGTGGAGTAAGTGAACTGTTATAAGAAACCAGGAGAACAATGGTTTAGCCCCTGGGATTGATGTCAATGAATCACTAAGCAGGGGACCTTGGATTGGTCACAGAGACCTGATGAAGACATTCCTGACTTCATTCCTTAAGACCACTGACCCAATTAGAGACCACTGACCCAATTCAAGGGAAGAATTGCACAGGTGTGAAGGACCAATGACCTCATTTGAATACAGAGCGGGGATGGGAGGTGCTGGGTTTGTGCAGATGTATTGTATGTAAGATCTTGGGCAATAAAGACAGGGCAAAGAACCTTGGACAGCACCTTTTAGGGAGGACTCTGGTGCCACCCGCCGGTGTTAATAAACATACCACTGTCTAACTTTAATTAGTTAGAGAGTCTCTGTCCGTGATCTTCAGTTTTAATGACTCATAGCCTGCTCCTTAATGAGAACAATCCTATCAGTCAGAAAGCAAATGCTGCAGGAACTCCTCTCCTGCAAGACAGGATCTTGTCAGCCAGATTTCCTGCTGGAACCCAGCTGTGACCAAGCAAACCAGTGCTGGCTGCCATGGAAACCATTGGAAGCAGCCTCGTCTGTCTCCTCCCCATGAAACCAACTTCAGAAGAAGTCCTGATACACAGGCTGGCTTGAAGCACCTCCACTCCCAGCTCCACACTGGGCCTGTGTGTCCTGAGCTAGGCTGCCTCGCTGGAGCTGAGCTTCTCCTGTGCTTGCCTACTGCTGCAGCTGAAGGGGAGCCTAAAGGACATGAGCTTTTCTGGGTGGTGTCCCACCATAAAGAGAACCCTGGCAGATCAGCATTGCAAGGATTTCATCTGTGGCAGGAGCAGGACCCAAAGCAAGGTTTGCTCTGTACCCCACACCTTCCCATACCACAATCCCACAGTTTTGGTGAAGAAGGGAGATGATGAAGGAGATGCCACTCAACTCCATGGACTTCAAGACACCTCTGGAGGCAGTGCCAAGGCAAGCCCAGAGCCCAGCTCCCTGCAGGCAGCAGCTAAGCCAGGAGGGCTCAACACTCAAATAGAGAAGATGTTCTGTCTCAACAGAAGAAGGTCCTTCCTCTCTTGGCAGCCAGGGAGCTCAGAGTGGCCATCCCTGTGTTGCTGCTGGCCTTTGCTATGCAGCACCTCTGAGCTCAGAGTCCTTGGAGCAGAGAAGCCCTGCAGGGACAATAACCCATGGAAGAGCAGTAACCCATGGAAGGCTTACTCACCTCTCCCTGAGAGGGGCCTGAGAGCCACAGTTGATCTCCCGGGGGCTCAGGGAGGAGCTGAGAAGTGAGGCCTCCCCAGGCACCAGCACCTCGGAGGTGGGGCCTCCCTCCACGTGGCACAGCTCCAGGACATTGGAGTTGCTGTTGATGTGGCCAGAGAAGGTGGAGGAGACCTGCTGGCTCTCTCCTGGCTGCAGCACACCTGACAGTGGCAGGATACTGAAAGCCTGGATGGAAGACAGGAGAGATTGAGGTGTTGAGCATGGGAATGGATGCAGAAGAGCATCTTGGAGCAAAGTGCAGGTGTAGCCAGAGGGGCCTATTCCCCAAACACTGCCAGAATTACCCTCACCTCATCCTGCATCCATGCCAGTGCAGGGACCATGGGGAAATTCTTCTCCCATACTCACGGGGTAATGCATTAATTAGTACATTACATGAAAATGAACTGGGATGTCTCCTGGCAGTAGAAATTCTCTCTGATGCACAACTTGCCTTAAAAAGTTTAAAAGCTTCCTGCTTTTAGAAGAGGAGGAGCCTCAGAGTGAGAGCTCTTGGAGCTGAGTGAAACGCAGCTCATCTGCGCTGAGCGCAGCTCATCTGACTCCTAAAGCTCTTCCCCTCTCTCTCTGATTTAAATGCTGCTTTCTCAAGGTGCTACAGCAAAAGCTCCTGCAAAAATTTCCTGTGGACCACCTGAGGAGTTCCAGGGGAAGCAGTGCCCTCCAGAGGTGCTGCACAGCATCCTTGGGCAGCCCTACAACGTTTCCTGCACGGCCTCTCCAACAAGCAGCTGCTTCAGCAGCATTTTGTGATGGGCCTGCAGGGATGGGAGGCCCCGCTGTGGCCAATGCTGAGGGCCCCCAGTGGCACTGGGAGCTCCAGCCCTGCTTGTCACACTGACAACGGGCAAGTGAGACAGATTCCCTCTGGCCTTCTCCGCTCCCAGGGGAGTGTGCGCCACATCCAGGGAGCACCTGAATCCCTCCAAGCCTCGTGGCAGGTGGGGGTTTGCAGGACTTGGTGCTGGCACCTGAAAAACAAGCCATTTTCTATGCTGGGAGGAAGAGACAGCCACTTTGCAAAGTCTCCCTTTGTAAGACAGCTTCAGGGCCAGCAGTGCAACAGCAGCTCTGGGGGAAAGCAGAGCCCTGCAGACAGGGAGTCTGGCTGCCTTGGGAAGAGGCTCCATGGAGATCAGGATCATCCCAGCTTGCTCTGGGAAGGAAGCTGGAGGTCTTACCATGATGATGCAGAGAAAAGCCTTATCTTACATTGGGAAGGAAACAAGGCAAAAAATCCCACACTCAACACAGGCCTGTAGGATCTGAGTCAGCTTCTCCAAGGAAAACTCTCCTGTTTCTCCCCCCCACTCAGCCCATGTCCAGCCACTGGCCCTGCTGCCCAGCCCACTGTCAGGGCACAGCAGAGGAGGGCAGCAAAAAGGGAGCTCAGCATGAGCAGGACTTAGTGCTGGCAGGCTGGGGAGCCAACACAGGCACTGGATGTACAAGAAAATCTACCTCTGCTCCTGAAGATTGGCTAAAATCCTGCACTTCTTTCAGGGCTGTGACTGGCTCCTCCACATTTCTGATCTTGAACTGCCTCCATTGAGATGCTTGGCAATCCAAACTGGTTCTTGTCCCCCTTGGTGGTTGGGGTTTGAATTTAGGTGGGTAGAGCTCATATCTGGAAAATAAATAACTATGAACAGGGGCCTGCAGTGGGAGGGAGCGACACCTGCACAAGCAGCTCCTGGTCAGGATGCAGCTCCTGGCCAGGATGCAGCCCCTGGGTGGGTGCTGGCATGTTGAACTGAGAAATGGTTTGATCCAGCCCTTCCCAATCCAGGCTGGAGCAGGTCTGTTCTAACGGTAGCCCAGGGATGACACTGAGGTGCTGCAGCAGCTGCAACTGCTTACACTGAGCAACTACAGAGGACAGGCATGAACACCTGGTGGGGATGCAAAAAGCACAGTGGGACAGGGAAAGACAGAGAAGGCAAGCAAAAAGGTGAGATTTGAGGCACTCAGGGGCAGACCCATCCAGTTCCCAGCCAGCACAGCCCCCCCAGTGCCCAAGGCCAGAAACTCTGCAGCTCCACCAGGGATTTATCAAGAACGTTCCCCTGACACTGCTGGGGGGGTTGGTTGACATTTTCCAACACTCCCAGGTGACTCAGGTCTCATTCCCCATCCATCCATCCATCCATCCATCCATCCATCCATCCATCCATCCATCCATCCATCCATCCATCCATCCATCCATCCATCAGCTGTGGTGCTGGGATCCTGCCAAGCTCTGCCAGCCTTGGGCTTGGGGAGATTTCTGCCAGCCGTCCTGAGCTCCGTAATTGTGCTCTCTCTTCCAGGAAGCAAGCAAGAAAGATTTTAAAAAAACCCAAAACAAACCACAACAGGGAAACCTAAAAAACCTTCAACAGCTCAACCCTGCTCAAGTTATCTCTTTAGGGACAGCTACCACTCTCCAGCTGAAATGATGGGCTTTTGGGGAAAAAGAAAATTACATGTTCACCTCCAAATTGAAAAGGATTAAGGTAAGAGAACTTTTCAAACTACAAATTATTGGCCCAAAGCTTTTACCTTTGCAAGAAATCTTTAGTTAAGACCAGGCTGACAGTTAAACAACTGGTTCTTCTGGTGGGGAGAAATTTCCTTCTCTTTAAGGGAAGCAGCCTGATAGTTGAAAGAAAATGTTTTGTCAAACTTCAGGCTCCCTGGCACAGCCTGCCTTGCCTGTCCTTCCTGTTCGCTGATTTACAGGCAGTGCCACAATGGCCCAGGTTCAGATGTTTGGTGCCATCCAGGGAATTTGGCCTCATCATTTCCATATGTCTTAATAGAAGTTTCAATCCTTGCAATCACTCTTCAGATGTCAGCTTTCCTTTCTTTTACAGAAAGCTCAAGGTTCCCAGAAGTTTTCTGACATCCTCTTTTGTGCTCAGAGAGATGAAATTTTCAAACAGATGTTTCCAAAGTTAACAGCATTTTAAAGAAAAATGAACTAAAATGACCCTGGATTCCAGCTTAGCTGAACTCCATTCTGTGTCATATAGTAGAGGAAATGTATTTGAATATAATTGGGCTGCAGCTGTGACCATTGAAGAGAACTGGGATAAAAGTGGGATAAAAGGGGGCAGGTTAGCCAGTCAGGGAGAGCCTTGGGAGGAGCCCTGATGAGAGAGAGAGAGAGAAAACAGCCTGCAGAAGAAGGAGTCAGTGAAGATCTGCAGCCATAAGAATACACCAAAGAGGTATGGACTTTAGAAATCTGATAGAACAACAGTATGAGACACTAGAGAAATAATAGAACAACAACAGTGTCAGACACTGAGATTCCCACCTCTAAGGCAGGAGCCGTTTGTGCCACCCATCCCTCCTGTCCTTCTCCCCAGCAGCCTGTGCCTGTTTTCCCCGACAGAATCCCTGTCCCTGTGCAGCCTGCCAGGAGCAGTTGCACACAGGCACACAGGCACACCCACCAGTGGGTTTCTCTCATCCCCAAACACGCCGATGACAACGTTGGTGCGATGAGTGCCCAGGGCCTGCACTGCCCCCACAACTGGGATCTCTGCTGTGCTCTGGGGCTGCACAATCCCACAGGGCTTGGGGCTGGAGTAGAGCATAGCAGAGTCCTCCTTGCGTTTCTGGAAGGGACAGAATGAAATGCAACTTCAGAGGGACCTTTGAAGAAACTTTAGACTCCTTAACATCCATTACAACAGCAACTTACACACACATTTAAAACTCCCCAGGATAAAGGTAAAAGGCACAAACAAGATGCAAGAATTGTAGGCTCAGCACTTCCAGGGGATCCTGAAAGGAGGCTGCCAGCACAGGCTTTGGTGTCTGTGGATGCAGCAGCTTTTCACAACCCTGTAAGATCTCCCACAAGAAAACACTCTGAAGACCAGAACATCAACTGTTTCCTCAGGAGCTTCAACTGCCTCCTAAAGTTTACATTCAGATAAGATCCTGTTCTCAGCAGATCTTTAAGACTGAATAGAAACCAGCAAGGTCTTATCCAACCCCTTTTTCCCCCTAATAATCTCCTCAATAATATTTGACAGGAGGAGGTGGATGTGATGCCAAACCTGGGGAATAAGCCTGTCGCAGCCAGGAAGGTGCTTGGGATTCCTAATGAGGATCTTCCTGTCATAGGGCACCTTCAGGTGGCACTCATCATACAGCAGCACTTGGGGAGACAGCTGGAGCTCCAGAACGAGACATCTGGGCAAAGAGATGACCCCAGGGCAATCATAGATACTGAGAGAATGGAGAATGTTTACCCCCAAAGATTGGGAAATGGAGCAGAACACATTGGTCACTGTCAAATGCACATTCAACAGCTTTACAGTGATAAATTGTCTTCTACCTCTTCCCACTCCAACATGTCTTGTCAAGGAGGGGCAAACCCTGAGAGGCAGCACCCAGAGACTGCCAAGTGCCCCAGGCAGAGCACTTTGTGCCACAGCTGCCTCAGCCCCTCCTTTACCCAAGAAGGCTTGCAAGGACTCCTGTAACAGTCCCAGTAACCCACAAGCTCTGGGGGAGCCTTCCCAACAAGGATGAGTGCTCACTAAGGCTCAAGGAACGCACAACTCCAGTGTCTCAGTAAAAATTACTCCCTTCTCTCCCATGGTGCTGTTGCCCTGCCTGAGAACTCAGCTCTTTGCCCCAGCCTTGGACGGCACGAGACAGCAGCTGCCCCACAGAGTGGCTGATCAGCCCCTGCCAGGCCCTGCAGCTCTCTGGCTCCTTCACTGCACAGCTCCAGGCACTGACTGGCCCCAGCTCCACCTGCTTTACAGAATGGCAGCCCAGGCACTGACTGGATGGCTCTGCCTGGGACAGGGAACAGCACCAGGGAGCTGCATCCCTCTTGGCATTCAACTGAAACCCACAGCAGCACGGAATTCTGCTGCAGCAACAAGGACTTTTGGTCTCAATGATGAGAACATCAAAGCTCAAAATGGGAAGCAGAGGGAAGGAGAAAAACTGGAGCTGACCTGCCACATCAAGGGCTGCTTTCCCCTCGTAAGACCTTGCCCTTACCACTCTTGCTGGGAGCCACTTCCCCCTGCCATGTGCCCTCATGGACAGAGCCAGACCCTGACTCTCAGCAGGCTGCCTGGTGTGGCCCAAACCAGTGCACGGTGCTCACAACCAGCACAACTCCACCTCTTGCAGGAAGAAGGAGAGGAGGCCCTCGGGAAATTTGTTCCACCTCAAGCACCAAAACCCAGGCCAATCAATGATATCATTGCTGGTGCCTTTAGCAGAGGGCCCAGGACCGTGCTGGGCTGTGAGCAGGGGTGCTTTTCACCACAGGCTGCTGCCCAAGCACTGCTGTTCCCATGTCCAGCTGGCACAACATGAGGGCATTCAGCAGCACTTCTCCTTGGCAGCTGCAGCCAGCAAAGCCTGTGCAAGGCAGTGCCTGGGGGAGGCCAGGCAAGAGCTGGTACCTGGCTGTGATGATCAGGGTTGCCACTCCCTTGCCAATACCCTCCAGGTCCACCAGCATTCTCTGGTAGAACTCCATCACCGTGTTGGAGCACAGGGTCACCTGGTGGAAGAGAAGAACCGTCAATTCTTCCTTACAAAAGCTCATTACCCATGTGTGATATCCTTCTGTTCCTGAGGGAGGATTTGGCCTTAATTCTTCTGCTGCTCCATGTGTAGAGCACAGTCTCAGAGTAACAAAAGCCTTCTGGCAATACCAGATTTGTTAAACACACCTTGCTATCAGGGCACAGGTCAGCTACATTAAAACATTAGACTACAGCTCTATGCACCACTGCATTCAAATTAAGGGTCCAATTTCTCATCTGACTACAGTGACATCCATGCAGAGGAAATCTGACTTGAACACAATGAGTTCAGCTTTACAGCAAGAAGCTGAGGGCAAAGTGTGGCCCAGCAGGTGCTGGGCAGTTCATGGCTGCTGTGGGACCCAGAGCCCGGGCTGGCTCTGAGAACTCTGGCACCACACCAGGAGTGGGGAACTGCCTCAGGATGGGCATTTACCAGAGGCAGAACCCTCAGAGCCACTTGCTCTATGCTGCAAGAGACAAGCCACCACAGGGACCAGGCAGAGGAGAAAGGAGGAGGCTCTCTGTCCTGAAGTTCCACAAGGAAGGGTTTATTCCAAGCAAAGTGATCAGAGCCAAAAGAGCCCTGGGCACTCCTGTGCAAGGGCTTTTGTACAGACACAAATCAGGGGGTAGATACAAACAGCAAACCAATAGGGAATCCTCAGGGGAGCACTGAGGGGATTCATCAGGTGTCTGGGACCACTTGGGGCAGGAGGGTAGAGAGGATGGCTCACAAGGGCCAATGGGGCCTCCAGGAATAGGGGAATTCCAAAGGGGTGTTGCAGACAGGGATTGGCTCCAGGTTAAATTGGCAAAGAAGGTTGTGGAACAAAAGGGGCTGGGTTGCCTTGACAGACAGGGAAAGAGCTCAAACAAGGGGCAGGGAATGGCATGAGGGACAGCTTTGAGCAAGGGTAAAACCCAGGGGTAAACCAACTCAGGGAGAACATGGGGGTACAACAGAACAAACCACTTAACAAGGAATCAATAAAATAAATTCAAACTGCTACACATGGCTGCAGAGTTTTTGTCTCCACTGGAGATTCCTGCAGTGAACACAAATCATTCTGCTCCCCAGAATGGGGGAAATGAGACCAAGAAGAAAAGCTAACTGCTTTATACAATGACATCTCTCTAACAGCCACCTTCTACCCTCATCCTTGCTCTGCCCAGTTGCAATCAAATAAATCCCTCTCAAAAACACAAGAATGGCTTCAGGCCTTGACCATAAGGTATGTGACCTCAGCATATGATTTTGGAAACTAAACAGTGCTCCTTGAGGAACATCCTGAGTAAGCCAGCTAGCAGAGGCCTCCCAGCAGTGCAGATCTCTCACTGCCAGGATGCTCAAAGCTGGCACCAGAGCTAAAGCCCTCCCACACTGCAGTGCAGCTCCAGCCCTGGTGCTGCAGCGTCTGTGGCTGGACTCTGGCCGTACCTCGATATCCTGGTGTCCCTGGGGCAGGATGGTGCCTTGGCTGGGATTCATGGTGAACTCCCTGGGCTCCACATAGAAATGGATTCCCTTCCTCCAGGCCGGGTCAGTGTCCCTGCGGATCTGATCCACGCTGTCCACAGCCGGCTGCGTGCCATCGTCCGACATGCGGAGCTGGAACGTCAGGGGCACCGGGGAGCTGTTAGTGAGGCGGCAGCGCTGCATGTAGGGAAAGCCTAAGGAATGACACAAATATCCATTCAGGCACCCATTAGAGCGTGACTCCTGGTGGGAATATCCTGGCAGGATGAAAGCGGGATTGGAGTTGAGCTCTTTATTATCTGAACTACAGCTTACCGAGAAGCTGCATGAGGAATTAATCATTATTTAGTTCCCTTTGACACAGATTCCAGACTGCAGCCTTGAAAATGCCCACTCCTAGCCCTGCTGAACACTGCAAGCTTCTGTCTTTGTGATGGGGAGGAGCTCCTTCACCTGCCCTATGGAATATTATTCCCAATATTTCCAGGTGGGATGTGCCTGGCCTCGTCTGACCCTTGCTGCTGGGCCAAAGGTGGCAGCAGTGGTGTTTCACCTCAGAGATACCTTTGGCTGGCTGGATGCTGCAGCTAGGCACTCACAACAAATCCAGGCATAGTAGAAACTCAGTTGACCTCTGGTGGAAAAGGTTCAGGTGATGGTGAAGAGAAACAGGAGAGGATTCTATCGTAGAGTTTTAATCCAGAGTTTTATTCCAGGATGACAGACTCTGAATCTTGTAACAGCTCCCAACAGAATCCCGACCACATGGTCCCATCTCCTTTTAAGCCCCGGGGACAGGGGGAGGGGAAGACACAGGTGAGCCACCAACCAGGAGGGAGGAGGGGAAGGCTCAAGGGATAAAGACACTTGGACAGGCCAATGAGCCCGGACCTGAGGGGCACCTTTTGAACTTCTGCCAACCACACCACGACCCTGCTGGAATGTTAAGATTGACAGACAGCTCTCAGCAGGATGGAAAAGGGGGAGGGTAAAGGAGAGGTTGGCACACCTGGGGGGTTGGGATAGGTGAAACAGGAAATGGCATCACACTGCAACACTGCCCCAAACCAGCACCAGTTATTTCTCGGTGATGAGTGTGCATCCAGACCGAGCATTTACTCTGAGAATTGTCGTGGTTTAGGGCAAATTTGGAGGAGAATTTCCAAATTAGGGCTCCTCCAGTAAGCAAACCCACACAGCCCCTCCCCCCAACCGGTTCGGGAAGGATTCCTCGGAGAGGAGTGGAAAGAACCTGTTTATTTAACAAGCACGGCACCCCCCAGCACACAAAATGAACAATACCCGATGACACCGCTCTGAAAAAAGATGACAAATTCAGAAAGTCTCTCTTGGGGGGTGGTCACTCTGTTCTCAGTCCCTCCAGCGCTGGGGCAGCTGCTGCAGGCCTCAAGGTGCAGACTCTTGGTGTTTCCCAGGTCCCAGTCTGGAGCAGGTTCAAAATGATCTGAAAAAGGAAAGGAGAAACAGTCCAGGAAGAAATTGGACAGTTTAGCAAACTAGCTAATGAGCAAAAGCAAGCAGAAGCGAAGAAGCAAGAGCGAGAGAGCAAAGCAAAAAGCAAAAGCAGCAAAAGCAAAAGCCGCAGTCTCTGTGTCCCGCCAGGCTGACAAGAAAACCAAAACAAAACTTTCCCTCTTCAGAGCCGGTCTTAAAGGTACAGAACATAATATCCAACATTAACAGAACACATGAATGGGGGTACAAGCATCATAACGTCACCCTAGGACAGAATTCAAGCTGCAAAATTCCCTGGTAAGCTTGCCAACACTCCCACCATTTTCAAGATATATGAACAGTGAGTCATCATTGAGAAGAAGCTACAGCAAAAGAAAGTGAGGATGGAACCAGGAACTAGAACGTGAGGCAAAGCACCCTAATGCAGCTTCTCTCTGCAGGATCCTTAAGGCATCTCTTGGTTTGGGCCAAACAGACTGAGCATGCGACAGCTCAGAGCCCACTCAGCTGGGGGCACACCCAAGCCTTACTTTGAGATTAGCAATTAGGAACCAGGTCCCACCTCACCCAACAAACAGGGACATCACAGCCATGCTGCTCACTGTGATTGCTGCCTGCAAGGGTTTCCCCCACTCTAGCTCTGAGATTTGCTTTCCATCCTGCAAAGCCAGAGATACAGCCACTCGTGGTGGGGATGTCCTGCAGAGCCCGCAGAGCAGCCACAACCTGCTTGCTCTGCAGTGCACATCTGGCTGGGCTGGCCAGCTCTGTGGGGAGGAGACTTCTCCCCAGGCCTGCTCACCAAGAGTCACTGGAACACAGATGGGGAGAAAAAACAACTGCAGGTGCAGCCCAGAGCTTCTCTGTGCCCATCCAAGTGACCACTGCCAGCTCCAGCAGTGGCTCCAGCAGGGAGGCAAGAGAGGCGCAAAAAGGTCAAACCCAGATGTCAAAACCTCAAATGAGACTGAGGTCAGCACCTGCAGACAACAGTCAACAGTTACAAAGAAGCAAACATACAACAGCTGCCTTCAGCTGAAGAGACCTTAGGAATGAAATCAGATTCAGCAGGATCAATCTCCTGCTTCAGAATCATATTTCCATCTGTTACCTTTCTTGTTTCATTTCTTCAAAAGGCAACTTGACAAGTGCCTCCGTGGTGATGCAGGCTGGGGAAGAAGCAGCTCAGGAAAGGCAATGAGTTTCCTTCAAAAGTTCATGAACTTCATTGTTCTGGGTTTAGGCTTGGCAGTGAATGTTGCCCTTGGTCTGGGAAGGGGGATAGGGGTTTTGGCAGGTTTTGGCCCTGGGCTGGGCTTTTCCATTGGGGGTTTTTGGGAGTTGTGGCGTGATGCCGTGGGCGGCTGTGCAGTGGGAGCTGAGGCTGGGCAGGGAGCGGAGCTTCCCTCCCTCCCGCTGGCGATCGCAGCTCGGCCGCTGCTGCTGCGGGAGATTGTGTGCTTGGCCTGGGACTGCCCTGGCTGCAGCTCAGCGCTGCCATCGACCCTGCCTGCCTGCCCCGCTCCTGCCTGCTGCTGCTGGGCACTGCCCGCATCCCCCTGCCCTTTGGGGGTCTGCAAAAGGAGCATTTCCTTCCTGCCTGCCCTCCCTTCTTCCCTCCTTCCCTGCCAGTGCTAGCTGGGAGGAGATCACTGCCCTGAGCCCACAGCTCCTCCTGATGTGTCCAGAACTCCACCAAAGGGGAAAAACAGGACTTGGCACCTGGGAAACCTCTGTTCTTGCCTTGATGTCTGTGCTCTCCTGAGATAGTCTAGGAAAGAACTGTTATTCCTTTTCCCATAGTTTTGCCTGGGAGCCCTGTCATTTCAAAGGTACAATAATTTGGAGGGAGGGGCTCATTGTTCCATTGCAGGAAGATTCCCACCTTCCTTGGCAGACATCTGTCTTTTAAAGCAGTGCAGAGACACCAGAAAATACTGACTTTCTATTCCTTGCTTCTATTGGATCTCACAATGGCAAAATGCCCCGTGAGGCAGCAGCAGCTGCCCTGCAGTTCACAGCCTGAAGAGGCTGCTGGGGCAGACCAGGAGTGAGGGATGCTTTTCTGTTGGAAGGCACAGATCCCTGACGCTGTGTCCCAGCCCAGGGAACACTCACCAAAGGAGATGTCCCCGAAGTCGAGCTCAGGGAGGTCGAAGTGTAAACTCGGTGCAGTGACGCTGCCCCTGGAGACCGAGGACAGAGCAGGAAATGGCTCGGTTAAAGGGATTGCAAAGGTTCGGCTGTCATGGCTCGGGGGCACAAAACCTGGGCTCAGGGCACCCTGGGTTTCCAACCAACACAGCACCATGTGCTCAGCACAGGGCCCTGTGCACAGGAGGCAGCTAAAGCCAAGTGGCCAGCAGCCAACAGCCACTGATGGGCTTTGGGCGCAGGGCAGGCAGGAGAAGCCCCCGGTTTCCTCGTGGTCCCATGAAGGACCCTGAACACACACCACACAGACATGGCTCTGTGCCTCAGTTTCGCCATCTGCAATGAGATGGACATCAAGGTGTCCCCACAAACTTCTGTAAGCAGCCCTTCCAGCCACAGGTTCCCTGCTTTGCTCCTTCTTAGCTGCCACTGCTGCTCCCATGGAGGAGCTTTCTCAGGAGAGTTTGACCCACCCAATCACTACAGAGTTCTGAGACATGAATCCAGGGCATTCCCAAACATCCTCTGAAAAGAGCAGCAACAGTTCTACCCAGGGGACAGATGAATCCTAGAAGAAAGGACCAGCTTGTCAGCAGTGCCCCAGCTGGCACAGCCAAGAGCAAGAGCTTCAACAAGCAAACAAGGCTGTCCTGAATCTAGCACAGCCCCTCACCTGTCCTTGAACTCAGCAGACAGACTCCAAAAGTCACCAACACTGAAATCCGCTGAAGTCCACTGAAATCAGCACTTGGAGCTGCACAATACTCACCAGTTGATTTCATGGTTGATGCCAATCTGTGCCCACTCTGCCTTTTGGTTCAAAATCAAGGAGCACAGAACTGGGCCTTCTGTTGTATTCACAGGACTGCCCTTGGCTCTGCTCTGCACATCTCAACAAGAGACACCTGCCGTTGCTCAAGGAGAAAGCTGCTTATGCAGAAACACCCCATGACCACTTTGGGGGAGGGAGAGAGGAGAATCAATTGTTTGATGGTGAAAGATTCCCTCTTGATTTCCAAAAGAAAAAAGCAGCTCTTTTCCTCCAAAAACAAAGCCAGCATCATTGTGTCTCCACTATGGGCACACCAACTCACCACTTTTCTCTTGCTAAGTAATAACTTCCTTGTTCTTCTTTATCCATCTCCCTTATCTTATTGGTATCATCCAGTGCAGATTGCTTTCATTTCTTTACTGCCTTGAGCCAGTGCCTGCCAACAGCAGCAGTCCAGCTCCAAAGCTGCAGAGCTGCCAGCATCAGCTCTCCTGCTTCCACTCCATTATCCTAGCAGCACATGGCTCAGGCTAGCAGGGACAAAGCCTTACGCTGCTGTGGTCCTGAGGACTGAGCTCTGCCTCCCCTATGATCAGCCCTTCTCCCTTTTGCTGGGCCAGGTTTGTCTCTTGCCATGGCACCAGCCCATGGGATGGTGCCCCAGTCCTTGGCACAGTTCCTGCAGCACCGTTCCCTGACTCCCACATCAGCTCTTTGCTGGCTGTGCAAAGGAGGCACCAGAGCACTCTGTGCACAGGAGCTGGGAGCACAGCTTGTCCCCCACAGCATGGCCATGAGAGCTGAGCTGAGGCTGCTGCTGCCCATCTGGCATGGATTATTCACACAAGGTTTTACAAACACTGCTGCTGCTGCAGAATCACCCAGGCTAGCCCATCTGCAAAGCCCTGGAGGCCTTGCTGGTGTTCAGGTGGGACATCCCAGAGCAGCTGCTGCCCAAAGCTGATCCATCCCACTGCCTGCCACGGCCCAAGGCACAGGCAGATCCCTGCAGGGAGGAGTCATTCCAGCTCCCAGGTACCACACAGGGCAGGAGGCATCCTCACACTAAAGCAATGCCAGGATTGGAGCAGAGATTCAGACCTCAGGAAACACCTTTTTTCTCTGCTCCACCTCAAAAGGAGGTAGGTGGGGGATGTCCCAAAGACAGCCACAGATGTGCCCACCCAGCTCCCAGGGTCCTTACTTGATGGTCAGGATGGCAGGCCTAGGAGATCCAGCCACATTGAACTGGAACTCTTCCTCAAAGCTCCCCAGCACGGTGGCACTGAAGGAGATCTGAACACTCTGGCTCCCACCTGCTGCAATGATGCCCTCCTTGGGTGCAAACTTGAAGCAGAAGCCCACCTTGGTGGCTGAAGGGATATAGGTGAAGGGAGCATCAAGAGCTCCTTGGTTCATCAGTTTCACCTGCAGCAGCAAGAAAGCAAAGTGGAAATACATGTGGAACCTTCCCTTCTTGTGAGTTCTTGGCTAATGATGCAATGAACACCCAGCAAAGGCAGAAGATGCTTTGTGCTGCTGAATGGCAGAAGTCAAAAGATACAACAGGACAGGTTCTGCCTTTAGGTTTTCATGCAGAGCAGTGGCAACTCCACAGAACTGCAGTCACCCTGGGCTTGTCCCATGGACACAGAGCAGTGCATCTCTGCTCAGCATCACCAAGCTCATTGAGAGCTGGCCCTGAGAGCAACGTGGGCTGATTGCAGCTGCAGAGTGAATCACCCCAGAGCTGCTGCTGCCCCACTGAGCACAGCTCCAACAGCACCATCTACTCATTCACTTTTTCCCATACCATGAAACAATACATTGAGAATGAGGCATTAGCATCAAAATGTACAGACAGCACCATCTTTTGGTAAGAAAACTCAGGGTGTCTTTCTCTTCCCCAGCCAAGCTTTTGAAAGTGTCTGGCATGATGCAGTGCCTCATTTTCTACCTCTTCAGTTGCTCTCTCATGAATTTTTTGCAAGCTTGACACTACTGTGGGGGAGGCAAATAGGTAGAAAAATCCTTTGCTTTATTCCCAGGAACACTTTTCTCTT